TCTTTTATATTCCTCATCTTTTGCCATTTCTGATTGTGTTTATTTGGGCTTTTTCTCTCTTTTTCTTGGTCAGTCTAGCTAGGGGTCCATCAGTCTTGTTTATCCTTTCAAATAAAACAACTTTTGGTTTTGTTGGGGTTTTTTTATTATCCCTTTGTCTTCTATGTCCTGAATTTGGGCTTTTACTTTGGTGATCTGGATTCTCTACTAAAGTTAGGGTTTTGGTGGTCTTGATTTTCCAGCTTCCTTAGGTGATTTGTTAGATTATTCACTTGTGATCTTTCCATTTCTTCATGTGTGTTCGTAGAGATATGAATTCCCCTTTTAGTACTGATTTCATGGCATCTCAGAGGTTTCGGTAAGGTGTTTCTTCATTTTCATTTGCTTTGAGGTATCCTTTAATCTCTGTTTTGATTTCCATGTTGACCCAGGAGTTGTTAGCATAATGATGTTTAGTGTCCATGAGTTCTGGGGAAACTTTGTTGTTAATATTTATTTTTATTCCACTGTGGTCTGAGAAGGTGCATGGCAGTATTTCAATCCTATGGAACTTACTTATGCTTGACTTATGGCCAAGGAAGTGGTCAATCTTCGAGTTCTTTCCATATGGTGATGAGTAGAATGTATATTCTGAGGTTGTTGGGTGGAGTATCAATTCTGTAGGTATCAATTAAGTCCATTTGGTTAAGTGTCACAGTGAGGTTTCGGATCTCTTTGTTGATTTTTTTGTCTTGATGATCTGTCTAGGGTGGTGAGTGGGGTATTTAAGTTCCCAGCTATGATAGTGTTGGAGTCAATATCTTTTTTAAGTTTACCTAGAAGCTGCTTTATGAAAGTTGGTGCTCCTATGTTGGATGCATATATGTTTAGGATGGATATTTCTTGTTGATGGACTGAACCTTTTATCATTATGTAGTGACCTTCTGTATCTTTTCTAATTATTGATAGCTTAAAGGGTATTTTGTCTGATATTAAGATTGTAACTCTTGCTTTCTTTTGTGTTCTGTTTGCTTGAAAATTTTTTCCCATCCTCTTACTTTGAGTCGGTGAGTGTCCTTTCTGGTAAGATGAGTCTCTTTTGTTGCCTCATGACATTTTATCCAATTTGCCATTCTATGTTTTTTCAGTGGTGCATTTAGTCCATTCACATTCAGGCTAATTATTGAGATGTGACAGTTTATCCCTAGCATGAGGTTCTATGTAGAGTTTGTTGTTGCTGCTGCTGTTTGTTTGTTTGTTGTCTTTCTTTTGATTTGGGGGTTGATTCATGTGTGTTTTCAATCTTTTTCCTGCATCTTTTGAAGGATGTTGTCATTCTTTTTTTCTTCTCTTCTGTGTTTAATACTTTCTTAAGTGTTTCTTATCAATCTCGTCTGGAGACAGCATAAGGTCTTAGGGATTGAATGTCTGGGAAGGATTTTAATTCTCCATCACTGATGAAGCTTAGCTTAGCTGAGTAGCTAATTTTTGATTGAAATTGTTTATCTTTGAGAACTTTGAAGATTGAGCTCCAAGCTCTCCTAACCTGAAGTGTTTCTGTAGATAAGTCTGCTGCTATTCTAATTGGTCTTCTCTGGTAGGTAGTCTGACCTTTTTCTCTTGCTGCCTTTAAGATGTTTTCTTTTATACCTACTTTGTATAGGCAAATTACTATGTGCCCAGGAGTTGGTCTTCTCATTTGTTGTCTTGCAAGGGTTCTCTGAATCTCTTGTGTTTGAATGGTCATATCATTGCTGAGATGAGGAAATTTGGGGGGGATAATTTCATGGAATGTTTGTTCCAGGGTGGTCTCTGTCTCTCTGTCTCAGAAATTCCAATCAATCTTAGGTTCAGCCTCATGAAATAATTGCTCATCTCTCAGAGGTTTTGTTCTTCTTTTCTATGTTTTTAACAGTTTGGGTTAGTTCCATATTTTGTTCCTCAAGCTCTGAGATTCTTTCTTCTGCTTGGTTAATTCTGCTTGACATGCTTATCAGTTTATTATTTATTTCATTTACTGTATTCTTTAGTGCTGTTATCTCAGTTATCAACTTCTTCATTCTTTCCTCTTAACTCTCCTCAATTCTATTTATTCTCTATTAATGTCTTGATATCTGGGTTTGTGGTTTGAAACCAGTCATTCTGGGGGCTTTTCATTGTTTTCATTCCGAAGTCTGTATTCTCAGTGCCTGGCCTCCCAGGGGTCTGTGTGAGGCCCATGTTCTTGCTTTGGTTTAACTTCATTTGTGTATATTTTCCTCTCCCCCAACCCTTTTTTTTTACCTCTCCTTTAATTCTGTTGTTCAGGGATAAGGGGTAGCTTTTACTTCTGTTTCACTCAATCTCCTATTCTTTCTTATGTGGATTCTCTGACTTTGTTCAATTCTGAAGCTGGACTGTGGGGGGGGGGGCTGTACTTTTTGAAGTTTTGAGATTTAATTGAGAGGGGAGCTGTGATTCAGAAACTATCTGCAGATCCCAGTATCTGCTGACAGGCGTGTGGGCCCCCTGGAACCCACTTCCACTGCCTTACAATCTGTCCATGCAGTAGGGGTATAGGCTTGCCCCCTGAAAGCAAAATGAGGTAAGAAAAAGAAAAAGAATGGAAAAAGGAAGGAGGGGAATGAAAGGAAGGTGGAGAGAGAGAAGAAGAGGGAAAGCAGACAGGTGTACCAACTAACAAATGAAAAGAGACACAAAGAGAAGATTTAAAAAAAAAACATACAGGCAATCATACAAACTCACAAACCGACAAAAACTCCCCTATTGATGTACTCTACCTCAAAAGTGCCCACACACAAACAGAAAATCTAAAACAATAAAACAGCAATAAAATAACAGAAACAAAGTAAGTATGAGAACATAATCAAAAACAGAAATAAAGAGAGGAGTAAAAAAAAAAACTAAAATAAAAAAACAAGCAAACAAACAAAAACCAAGCAAAACAAACAAAACTCGCTCTGAGGCTGTTCCTGTAACTGACGTCCATTTCCTTTCTGCTCTGGTCTCCATCCCCTCCCTTCTGCTCTCAGCGCAGGCAGACAGGGTTGTTCTCAGCACGGGTCAGATGCCCCACGGACTATTGTGGGAGGGGGTGGCTCAGATCTGGACTCACCTGGCTTGCTGCTGCTGCCGCCCAATCTCCCACTCAGATCTGACTGTCTTTGCCTGTTCCCGTGGGGGGAGTGTTATCTGCCCCTGAGTTTGATAAGCTAACCTTGAGGTTCCAGGATGGAAGCTGGGTGGAGCTGGGTGGGGCAGTGAAGGTCTGCCTGGACAGAGAAGATTGCAGTGGTGGGCGCATTTCCTCACCGGTGGTGGGGGTCCTCTCCGGCTCTCCCCAACCTGCTCTCTCCACCAGAGTTCCTGCTGCTCTGCTGTCACAGGTGATGGGGTAGGCCAGGGCCAGGTTGTAGGATCAGTTGTATTCTGCAGCCTTTTCTCAGGAGAGCCCTGAGAACAGCACACAATCCTGTGGGCCCACGGCTCCGATCTCAGGGTGGTGGGGGGTTTCAGTCACCTCTGGAGGAGAACCCCAGGTGCGTGAACCCAAGCCTCCCCTCAGACAGACTTTCACTCACCCACGCACGCAGAGAGTCTTTATAGAGACTCACTTTTGCAGAGACTCTCACAGTCTGACCTGTCCCATCACCGTCTTGCCAGAAATCCCCTCCATGAGGTTTTACGTCTAACATTGTCCTTGTGCTTCCTCTTGGGACCAGAGGAAAGGAGAAGTCAATTGTTGTCTCCAGAAGACACTAACGAGCGTCTTAGCCTAGCCTGAAATTCACTCCCAGTCTATATCTCAAATTATTGTAGTTCTCCTGTCCCACATGGCTCACTAGAAGAGTTTGTCCAAATACATTTATTTCTTTGTTATAACATCATAAAATATTCTAAATAATATCATGCTGGGATCATAAAAATACCCCGCATTTGGACATGAACTCCCTCTAGTTATTACATGTAAGTTCAAAACATATTCAATTCCCCCCACCACTACGACCCCCTATAAACTAAAGTACAGAGTTCTTTCCTCCCTAGTTTCTCAGTCAGCTTCGTCTCAGGCAAAGGAGCTCACTCAGAATTCTGATAGATTTATTTGGCAGCAAAAGGCCTCATGGGGCCCAATTTCAACTTCTCTTCTCAGGCCAACCCCCAGAGAAGCACAGATAAGAACTCTGAGCTTATTTCCAGAACTCCCTCACCAAGGATCCTCCTCCCAGACCCCAGAGGGACTGACTCTTCATCACAGACTTGGAGGTGCCCAGAAGCATGAATTGACCTGGACCACTTGTGTGTTCACTCGAGGTTGGCTAACCTCCCTTCCTGGAACTGACGAGGCAAATAAGGGCCCAAGTTCCATGAAAACATCAGGCCAAAGTGATAAGCTGCTTTCATGTTGTCTTTTAAGGGCCTAATGCTGACTTTTACAGCGCTGAGGCTCCACTTCTATCTTAGTTCTCAGATAAACCATAAGGGAGTCAGGGACAAGATGGTCCAGTGGTGTATAAGGAACGATGTGCAGCCCAGTTTCCCAAGCCAGGCTGCAGTCCAGGCACTCAGGCCGTGGCCAATCCTATTTGTCGTGCCAAAAAGACAAATAAGATGGAGTGCCTTCGCAATGGAGAACGTTTTCTAGCTGTGCCACCTTAGAAACAGAGCAGGTAGAAGAAGACCAAAAGCCAAAATGTTGTTTGAAAAGAAGAATGTTGAGGTGAACATTATAAATGGAAAATGCCCCTTTAGGATGTGAAGGGGACCCCAGCAGTTCTTCCACTCTGTAGACAATGAAATGAGTCAGAAAGGAGCTGGACTAGAGTGAAAGCAGAAAGTGACAGATGAGAGAACTGGAAGAAACCCCCTGGGCCTCAGGAACACAGCTGCAGCTGCTGTTGAAAAACACCAGCAGCCTCAAGCATGAGAGGGGAAGAAACTGTCAACGGCCACACTCTAGCCTGGACATCCTGGCCCCATTCCAGAGACAAACCAGAAAACCCCAGTCTGTGTCTCTTTTTCAGATTGATGCTTTGACTGAAGTGGTGGCTGCTGTAGACGGGAAAATTGAGGTGTACCTGGATGGCGGGGTCCGAAATGGCAACGACGTGCTGAAGGCTCTGGCCCTCGGGGCTAAGTGTGTTTTTCTTGGGAGACCCATCCTGTGGGGTCTTGCCTGTAAGGTGAGAATGGCAAAGCATGGAAGCATGGAAGACACGGTTTCCCACTCATTTCCATGCTTCTCTGCGGCTCACCCTCCAAGCTTCACCATTCTCTAGAATCCCACAGATTCCCAAAGGAGCGCTGCAGTCACGTACGTCGCCATGCTTCCTCTGAAGCAGGGCGCAAGTTTTCGGGGGCTCTCGGCCCTCGCCCCCGATCTTCTTCTCTGGGTTTTCCTTCACTCCAAGGGTCATTCTCATTTCACAGGTATCCCCCATCCCCCCAGCACAGCTCTAATGACATCTAGAATTCACGTTTAGCTGATGATCAAAAAGCTCCTTCATGGCTCTTTTTTTTTTTGTCTTTGTCTGGGGAGCAGGGTGAACATGGTGTTGAGGAAGTTTTGAACATCTTAAAAAATGAGTTTTACACTGCCATGGCCCTTACAGGTAGGTTTGTTTCTTTCTTTCTTTCTTTCGATTTGGAGCTTAAATGCGGGGAGTTAATGAGGAGGAGTGACAGCCCTTCTCCCTAGGTCACCCTTTCCCAATGTTGCAGCGGCCCAGAAGACAGAAAAGCAAGGAAGCATCCCAGACAAAGATTAAGTGCTGCTTTCTGCCCAGTGGTGATGCAGAGCTCTCCTCAGGATCGTTGTCAATTCCAGGGCGGGTCACCTCTGGCTCTGAGTTCTTGCTTCTACTGAATCCGTTCACTGTATAGGCTATCGACATATCCCGTGCCTGCTGTTTCTATTCACTTCAATCAGTCCGGGCATGAAACTCAACCCTTATCTCTATTTCTATTTTCAGAAAAAAGACTCTCTTATGACTTACATTTGTGTGAGTTATACATTTTGCCAAAGCTACGTCACAGATATAGAAGTAATTTCCAGTCACACATTGCACGTTCTGTTATTAAATCCCTCCAGCCTTCTCACCACCGGGGACTTCTCACTGCCTGCTTGACCATGACTCCCAGGCCCATAACGTCACGCTCGTTCCTCCGTCTCCCTTCTCTTTTTGCTCCCTCTCTGGAGTTACTCTTTTTGATCTCCGTGTCCAATCCCAGCTAGTCTTCATCTTGCATATTTTAAGGCCTTCTGCTAAAGAAGAGTCTTTTCCTTTGATAGAACTTTCCCTTATTAAGCAGCTGTTGCATGTTAGTTGCATCCCTGAGTCATATTCTTTCCTCACAGACACTTCTGATATCCCTGAGCCTTATCAGAGCTCAGATAAGATCAAAGACATCAATTGCACACAAGAGCTGGTTTTTCTTTAATGCTAAGATAGGGTTTTTACGTTTTTACCCTGACATTTTGTTGCAGCTGTGTTCAAAGATGGCATGGGCACAGGATAATAAAGGAAGGAATCCAAGTTATTCATTTCTGTACATTAACCATTTTATCAGAGCAAGTACAAAGGTCAAGTCAACCTGTTCCCAGTGGATTACCCCATACCCATGATGGGGTAAGTTGCTGACATTTTATAGAAATAAGTTTTATAACCCCCCTTTTTTTTTAGGCTGCCGGTCAGTTGCTGAGATCAATCAAAATCTGGTCCAGTTCTCCAGGTTGTAAGGAAAAAGAACTAAGAACCAGACTGCTGTGGTTACCCACAGGAGGAAGACAAGCTCACGGCATGATGTGTACAGCTGTTCTACCGGGGAACCACCTGGCCCGGGGTTCATGCCCTGTCCCCTCAAATCCTCCTCCCCTGGGCCTTGGGCCCTCACATCGCTTGCCTTCCTCAAATGTGTCTTTCTTTGCTCCTTTGTCTTTTATATGTGGTTCTCTTACCTAAAATCCTCCTCTGAAATAAAATATCTCCAAAGGGTAGATCAGCAATGACTGAAACAGCTCGTGGTTTCTATGTTTCACATCCCCTGTATTCCTCTTTGAAATAACTATGGAACCTGGCACTCTGGACGGAAGAGCTGTACTTATAAAGCAAAAAAGCACACTCCTCTCGGTAGCTAACAAGGAAATCATATCATTAAGGACATAAGCTTTAGAGTCACACAGACATGGGTTGGACAGCCAGGACGACTGCTAACAAGCTACATGACTTGGGCAAGTTTTGCTTGTTTGGTTTTTTTTTTTTAAATCTCTCTGTGCTTCTGAGTCCTGGTCTGTACAATGGGGATTATATTCCCTATCTCAGTAGGTTGGGAGAAAGATTATGTGGGATGGGGTATGTGAGGTTCAGACCACAATGCTTAGGACCTAGCAGGAGTTTAAGAAACGGTAGCTGTTATCACTATTGTTAGGCAAATCCCCATTAATCTTTCAAGATCTTGTTCAGATGTGACCTAATATTCCCCTGGTTATCTGCTCTGTTCTTTTTATTGTATCTGCACATTCCACTGTTACACCTCTTATTTGAATGTGTTATATTTATTTATTTGCATGCCTTTCTCCACAAATGGACTATGAATGGCTCAAGGCAAGGAACTGTATGATTGATAGTGGGCTTGGCACATGGTGGCATCTCAGTGAACGTGCTGGGATAGATGGGTGGATACAGAGAGCTGGAAAATAAATAGTGTCCTATGAGAATAAAACTTTCCCAGACCAGTAGTCAGTCGGGACAGATACCTAGAGTGGGGGCATCCATCTGAATAAGCTGTGGTTCATCACAGCAAGAATTTATGTCATAAATAACCTCAGAACTGGTTTCCACGTGCTCCCTCTTGCTGCCCGTTACACTCTGCTCTCCACACAGCAGCCTGAGAGATTTTAACAGTAAAATCAACCCTGTGTCTCACCTATTTCGAGCCCGTTTAGGGCTTCTCATTCCATTTAGCACAAACCCTAGAGCGATCACCAGCTCTCAGAGCACTACACGGTCTGCTGATCCTTCCAACCCAATTTCCAGCCACGCCTCCTTTCGCTCACTGGGCCTCAGCCAGAGGGGCCTCCTGTCTATTCCTCAAACAAGCAAAACTCTTTCTTGCCTCTGAGTCTTCACATTGGTTCTTCCCTTCAGGTAAAATGCCCTTCCTCATCCTCTTCCTATAATGGCTTTTTCTGGAAAGTCAGATCTCCCCTGAAACATCACCTCCCCGCTGTGGTGCGCGTTCCCTGGCCCTCCTAGGACAGGCTCGTCTTTACGCATCACTCCACCTTGTCGTCCCTCTCCAAGCACTCACTACGATGTGCCATTCGTTGGGCATTTGTTGACTTTTGGTGGTTGTTCCCCTCCAGCAGCACAGGAGCCTCTGTTGGTCTTGCTCACCACTGTGCTCCCAAGAGCCTAGAATCCTGTCCGACACCACAGAAGGCCTTGAGGAGATATGTGTTCGATGAATCCATCCAGGAAGGCGAAGCTGTATCAACTACTTGTCACATCCGGAGAATTACAGAAGTCCCCAGGGGAAAACAATGAACTAGGATGGGACTGAGCAGAACAAATCACTCCCTAAGCCAAAAATCCTGAAAAGTCTTCCATCATTCCTGGGCTGGACACTTCCCCACAGGAACCTGTGCTATCATACGGTTCACTTTAGCCCAGCCTATCCCACGGCACCAAGGGCCTGGCCAAGGGAACATTACGTGGGAAACACTGGAAGAGAAGCAGTCCCACAGCAGCCTCCTTGGTCTTGACTCTTAATCGATTTGCCTAACATTTGGCCTAACCCAAATACATGTGTGGCGTATATGCCATCTGCATATTTATTTGTTTGTTCGTTTGTACAAACCGGATGCAAGTTCATTATAATCAGCAATTGACAAGGAAGTTAGACGGTTATACAATATATTAACCAGAATTATGACTGATGACATACTGGATTTCTAAGAGTTTTTCTTCTAGTTTGAGGACACTGATATCAATAACACACCCATACATGTAACTGAAGGAAGATTTAGCATCATTTATCATTTGACAGTATTTCCCGTATAATTTGCCAAATAAGTCAAAACGTTTACTATATCTACACCACAAGAGGTGCATGAGGCTCCCTGGGGCCTGCCTGGAAAATCTCAAAGTTCACTCTAGGTCAAAAAGAGTTCATCTAGGGAAGGTCCTGGGGTTCACACCTGTAATCTCAGCACTTTGGGAGGCCAAGATAGGAGAATTGCTTGAGCCCAGGAGTGTATTTGAGGAGAACCTGGACAATATAATGAGATTCCACCTCTACAAAAAATAAAATAAAACAGCTAGTCATGGTTTTACACACCTGTAGTCTCTACTATTCAGAAGGCTAAGGCAGGAGGATCACTTAAACTGAGAAGGTTAAGGTTACATATTTTAAAAAGGAAAGTAAAGTATTGTGGTATTAGACAGTCCTGCTTGCCTATAATTGTGACATAATGCAGAATCCAGGAGAAGAGAACACCCAGACTCTCAAACAAAAGGCCCTTCTCAGAACAAAAGATCTTAAAGGGGCAGATTAGCAATGACTGAAACAGTCAGTGGATTATGTGTTTTGCACATCCTCAATATCGCTGTGAAACAATATGAAATTTTGCACTCTGGACAGAAGAGCTATGCATGTAAAATACTCTCCAACAAAAATCATACTCCATCTATCAAATAGTACAAGACAGGCAAACCAGATGAAAGGAAAGCTAGTGTAGGGAGACTATCTGGAAGAGTCGTGTACGCTTCGCAGAATTGTGGTCTTTGAAAAGAGGCAACCACATTAAGATACCACCTAAACCCTGTAAGAAGGGCCATCATTCATAAAACAAACAACAACAGATGCTGGCAAGGACACAGAGAAAAAGGAACGCTTCTACACTGCCGGTGGGAAGGCAAACTAGTGCAACCTCTTGGGAAAACAGTGTGGCAATTTCTGAAAGAACTAGAAATTGACCTTCCATATGACCCAGCAATCTCCCTATTGGGAATATATCTGGAGGAACTCAAATCACTCTACAAAAATAGATACCTGCACACACACGTGTATCACAGCACTAATTCACAATAGCAAAAACATGGAACCAACCGTGCTGCTCATCAAAACTGGACTGGATTAAAAAATGTAGTACATATACACAAAGGGATATTGTGCAGCCATAAGGAAGGACAAACATACCAACTTTGCAGCAACTTGGAGGGATTTAGAGTCGATCATACTCAGTGACCTATCACAGAAACAGAAAACTGAGTATCACATGTTCTCACTCATAAGCAGACTTTGAACAATTATCATAATACTATAAGAAAGGGATTGGCAGTAGTGAGAAACTGCCTGGGGAGGGAGGTGGGATTGGCAGTTGACGGAAACTGCCGGGGTGGGGCACATCTCATCAACAGGGGTACCTGCATAATGAACATTTGTATACCTCACCCTGAATTATACCCCACATCTTTAAAATAGAAAATAAAAAAGAAAGAAAGGGGGCTTAGGAGGCTGAGTCAGATATCATGGTAGAAAGAAAGAAAATGCAGCATAATCCCAGTGTTATAGCGTAACTTTATATTCAGGTTCCAAATTGGCTACTGCATTGGTGGACTGATAGTTTGAGGCCAAGGAGGGATCTTTAAGTTGGCATCAAGGATGGAGTGCTCGTACTGAAAGTTTAGGGACATACTAAGAAAACGCCCTATCTGGGGTGACTGGCTGATGCAGCAGTCACAATTGCATTGTAGGACAGTAGGCCTACATGACCATGGACCTTGGAGATGACCTTCAATACACTGGTTGGCATGGCAACGTGTGACTTGGGAAAAATGGAAACTTCATGTCTTAGTCTGTGCAGTTATAATGAGATAACTGAGACTAAGTAATTTATAAACAACAGAAAGGTATTCCTCAAAGTTCTGGAGGCCAGGAAGTCCACGATCAAGGGGCCAGCAGGTTCCTTGTCTAGTGAGAGCCCAGTCTCTCCTTCTAAGATGGCACCCTATTACTGAGTCCTCCAGAAGAGACAAATGCTGTGTCCCAACATGGTAGAAGTGTGGAAAGGGCTAGCTAGTTCCCTCAAGACCTTTTATAAAGTCACTAATCCCATTCATGAGGACTCCACCCTCATGACTTAATCATCTCCTAATACTATCACATCAGTGATTACGTTTCAACATATGAATTTGGGGGGAGACATTAAAACCATACAATTTTATAAGATCAAGAAGGAATATGTGACAAAGGTGACATTGGTATAGCCTAACTCTCACTGCTGCAAGGGACTTCAGGAATTTTTTTTTCTTTTCTTTTTTTTTTTTTTACTTTGAATCATAGAGCCAAGGCCAGAGACATGAAAGAACAGAGGAACAAAGGAAAGCCTAAAATATTTATGGTCACGATCTATGATCTAAGATGTTACAGAGACTTATGACCCATTAACTAATATCCATTCTGTGCAGTGCACTGTTCTCTAAGAAAAATAGCAAAAATAAAGTTTTGAGGTCTGAGATTCAGGGACTCTGCAAACAAATTAAAATTGACTAGCTCAGTTCCTCTCCAGGAAATGAGAAAGAAGATATGTTTACTTTGGTCATACTGGGTAATTTCCCTAGATAGATGCAGTCTTTTTTAGTAAAGTACTAAAGAATTCAACTGATAGCAGAGATTAAAGTCTGAGAACTCTTCTGTTACCCAGCGGTCCCCAACAGCATAGCCCCAGACGGCAGGCAGACTCCTGAGAGAACTGTGCTACCAGCTGCTTCGTCTAGCTTGCGACCATACTCAGACAGACTTTGCTCTTCTCTGGCCTACTTCCCAGCCCTCACTTCCATCACCCATCAAGAATCAGCAT